GATGTGCTGATGCTGGGGAAACCGTGGTGACCAAAACAAAAAAAAAGTCTCTAACCTATCAGAGCCACGGTGGTAAAGTAGGGAATAAATGTGTGAGCTAATGAATAGGGTTGTTTCATAGTGTACGTTACGAAAATAAGAGAGGGCAATGTGATAGGCCAGAGTGACTGGTGAGAGCGGCGGGGCTGACAGGGGAGGGTGTCCTGGGAGGCCTCCGAGAATGAGCTGAGAATGAGCCACCACAGGAGGGTGTGTGGAGGGCGTGTTCCAGGTAGAGCAAGTAGCAGGTGCAAAGGCCCTGAGTCAGGAACGCGTTTGGCTGGGTTTGAGGACGCCCGGGGGTATCTGGAAGGCTGAGAACAAATGGAACAGTGGTTTGCGAGGAGAAGAGAGAAATAGGCAGGGCCAGATGGTCTAGGGCCTGCAAACCAAGGGCGGAGCTTGGATTTTGTTCCCGGTGTGATGGGCGGCCCTTGAAAGGTTTTGAGAAGGGGAAGGAGACTTAATCTGACAGGTTTTCAAAATGCCCTGCTGGTTGCCATGTGGCTGTAGGGAGCCCACCGAGAAGGCAAAAGCGACGGTGGCCTGGACCAGGGCGGTGGCAGTTGAGAGAATGGATGGAAGGACTAGGGGTGCGTTTTGGGGGAGAGCAGATACATTCCCCCGAGGCTGGGTTCCTTTTCCTGAGATGGAGCATCCTTCTCTGGGTGGCATCAGTCCCGTTTGTGGTGAAGATGAATCTCTTCCAACTTCCTTTCAAATGGAGTAGAATAGGCTTCCTGGGGGAGGTTTTAAGAGCGGCTGCTCGATGAAGGAGGAGCCAGAGGCCTCCACCTAGCTAGCATCCACTCCCCCCTTTTGTGCACATCCCTCTGCAGTTCCCAAATGCTCACAACAAGGATGAAAACGAGGCTCAGAGAGGCAGAGAGTACCCGAGGCCACAGAGCATCTAGGGCAGGGCTGGGCAGCAAACCCTCAAACTCAGCATATTGCCATCTTGCCTTTCTCATGCTCACCGCAGGAGCTGTGATATAGGCAAGGAGGGTGAGTGCTGACCCCTTTTTAGAGAAAGTGAAACTGAGGTTCAGGGGAATTAGGACGCTTGTCCTGGGCAAGGCTGTTTTAAGACCTTTGTGGGCCCCACATCTACGAAGCATATTAAAATGCAGCTATAGCAAACGTCAAGTGCAAATTACATACAACCAGATAAAAGCCAAATTGCAGTTGACTGGCTGATATCATGTTCTGTTTTGCAGGCATTTAATTAAACATTTAACATTTATTAATTTTGATTCTGCAGTTTTTCCCTGTGTTTTAGAGCCAACCTACCCGCCCCCCACCCCCCCCCCCCCCCCAAAAGAACAGGCCTCTAACATTTTCCGGGGCCCAAAAAACCTTTGCGGCCCTTGCCAATGGG